CCTTAAGAGGCATTTCTTTTTAGAAAAACCAGTAAAAATAAATAACATTGATAGTTATTTTTGACTTGTATAAATATCATTGATTTTTTAATGAATTACAAAAATACATACCAGTATAAGGAATACCCTAACAGGTTAGGCTGATAAATGCTACAGCTTCTATCTCAGGAAGGGGCCATGTGGGCTATATGCTATCAACAGAAAAAAGTTCAAGCAGAAAACAGCTTGTTTTGCAATGCCAGTCAATTAAATATTATTGTATTAGGATGCAAAGGAACAGAAAGAGAATCTGTAGGTATATATATAACCTTCATATATTTACATATCTCATATATGTGAGAATATATACATATATTCTCATAGTCAATCCACACTTAAGTTTGCTGGAAGAAATCTAGATTAATATTAAAGGAAAATGTTAATCATAATGGTGATTATATATGTATGTTTGTTTATTTTCTTTATTTTTATTAGAGACAGGGTCTCCCTATGCTGCACACACTGGTCTTGAACTCCTGGACTCAAGGGATCCTTCTGTGTCAGCCTCCCCAAAGTGCTAGGATTATAGGTGTGAGCCACTCTGCCCGGGCTATTTGCTTATTTTCATGACAATGGTTCGTATCATTAAAATGATGGAACTAGAAGGCTTAAAATGACATGCTGAGGTCATTTCAAATGAATAAACATGTAATCAGCACTTACTTTGTGTAAAACATTGCCTTTTAAAGTTATTGCAATAATTATCTATAACAAAATTAGAACACATCTTTCAGGCCAAAAGTAACATGAAAAAAAGTAACATGAAAACAATTAGATTTGAATTGTTCAGATTTAAAACTAAAATTCTGCCACTTCAGTGGGACAGTCTATAGAATCCACTTTCAGAGTCAACAGCCAACAACAAAGAGAGAGGCAGAAGAAGAGAAAATACAGAGCAAAACATTTGTGGCACAGAGTCAAATTATAGTCTGGAAATTTTTTTTTTCATGTACAGCTGCCTCACCAAGCAAAGAAATTCTGTGGCAGCCACCACTTCCAGTATTAGCAAAACACATCAATACAATAGAGATAGAAAGGGATATGAAATTACAGCAAATCATTTCCTGTAACATTGCAATTATATCTACTTGTGACACTAGGGTAGGTAGCTTATGAATCTGGGGAGAGAACATGATGCCTGAAAGAGCACTCAGAAAGAGCAGATGCCTGAAAGTCTTATGATATTGATTCTCAGCCAGCATCTCCTGCTAACCAGCATTGAAATTGTCCTCGAGACTCTGCTTCTCTCAGTTTACTTACTTGTAAAATGATGAAATCAGACCAGATGATCTGTAAGATCATATTTTTCCACAATCTACAAATAATTTCATTCAACTTGAACAAATAACACAGCAGCCTTCCTAGCCTGGAAGCTACTCTCCCCAAGTGATTTCTCATACACTAGAAACACACAGTTTGGACAGTGAGGAATGTTTTTAAAAGTCATCTCTATGTAGAAATCAGACTCTGCCCAACAGCAAATTGTAAGATCTCTTCTCATTGTAATAGTTTATGATATATGTTGGGTTTCAACTTCTGAGAAGCTTTTAAGATATCCTTTTCAAAGAAGAAAGGACATCCTAAATCTCTCACATGGAAATCACAGGAAAATCAGAAACATAACTTCCCTGATATTAAAAAAAATTCCACGAGCTATTTAGGGTATAAGTTTATATATATTTTTACATTTCTAAAAGAAGACAGGTGTTAAAATAATGACTATAGAGAACAATGGTAATTACTGTATATCATACCTGTCATTTGAAGGCTGCAAGTCTTTTGTAACCAATAGCTAATTCTTTTAATGTCTCTTGGGGATAAGTATCATTATCCACATTTTACCTAACAGCAAACTGAGGGACCAAGAGCTCATTCAAGTTCACACAGGTGGCCGGGAGCAGTGGCTTATGCCTGTAATCCCAACACTTTGGGAGGCCACGGCGGGTGGATTATCTGAGGTCAGAAGTTTGAGACCAGCCTGGCCAACATGGTGAAACCCCGTCTCTACTGAAAATACAAAAATTAGCCAGGCGTGGTGGCACATGCCTGTAATCCCAGCTACTTGGGAGGCTGAGGTGGGAGAATTGCTTGAACCCAGGAGGCAGAGGCTGCAGTGAGCCGAGATCACACCACTGCACTCCAGCCTGGGTGACAGAGTGAGATCCTGTCTCAAAAAGAAAAAAAGTTCATTCAGGCAAGTCACTGATAGAGCTGGAATCAGAAAATGATGATGGCTACAAAGAGAATCTTGCTGAAATCCTCCAATGGCTTCCCATCTTACTTTACAGTAAGTTCTAAAATCCTCACCATAGCCCAGAACACTGTACAGGATTTGGCCTCTGATTATTTCTTAGACTCTATTTCTAATCTGTCTGCTCCAGCTACACTGGCTTATCTGCTGTTACTCAAATATCCCAAGTAAGCTCCTTCGGGTCTCTGTACTTCCTGTTTCCTCAGCCTAGAATCCTCTTTCCTCATTATGCACGCAGTTCACTTTCTTCCTCCTCTCAGGTCTTTGCTTGAATCTCCCCTCCTCGGGGAGGCCTTCTATACCACCTACCCTCATCATAGCACCCGGTTCTATCTTTTTCATGGAGTGATCCCTATACAAATATGTTATTCATCTATCTATTTTATTTGCCATCTCTCTCTAGCCCATGAAGTTTCATGTTTCATCTACTGCTGTTATCCCCCCAGTACCTATAACAATGCCTGGACTCAACAAAATTTTTCAAAATGAATAAACAATGAATGAATAATCCCATATCCAGCACAGATTCTCCAGCAGATTCTCCAGTGGTTTCATCCAATAGAATTGTGTTTCCCTGTAATGCCCATACTCTTCTTTCTCTTCCTCCTTGCCTTTATTATTTTTTCTAGATGGTGAACACAGCTGAAAATGCCCTACTGTACTCAGTAACATGGATCCTGAAGGGTGGTCCATTTAGACCACCCACACGAAAGAAAGTAAGCCAAAGGATTTGATTCTATAGGATCCTGCCAAGTCTCCTGAAGGCCCCAAGCTGTTAGGATGACAATCTTTTTTTTTTTTTTTTTGGAGACACAGTCACACTCTGTTGCCCAGGCAGTAGGGTAGTGGTGTGATATTGGCTCGCTGCAACCTCTGCCACTGGATTCAAGCAATTCTCCTGCCTCAGCCTCCTGAGTATCTGGGATTACAGATGCATGCCACCACTCCCAGCTAATTGTTTTTTGTATTTTTAGTAGAGATGGGGTTTCACCATGTTGGCCAGGCTGGTCGTGAACTTCTGGCCTCGAGTGATCTGCCCACCTTGGCCTCCCGAAGTGCTGGGATTACAGGTGTGAGCCACTGTGCCTGGACAGATGACAACCTTTTTGAACCCCTTCTGGAGCAGAAACAATGGCCATTTGTCATTCAGCTGCATCAAAGATTAAAGAAAGAAAGGAAAGTTAGAGCACTT